ACGCCGCCGTAGAGATTGTTCCGGCTCCGTCGGTGGAGCTGCCCCAGAGCGAGCTGATCACGGTGCCCAAGCAGCTGGTGCCCACCATGCCGGAGAATGTGACGCGACGCGAGGGTCGGCGGCGCAACTACATGTACATACCGCTGCAGACGGATGGGGAGAACGGATCGACGGGATCCCTGCTGCAGCTGCGACCCAGCCGGAATGCCACACTCTCCGCCTTGGGACCCCCCGCCGACGGAGTGGCCGCCGTGGCGCACGAATTCGCAGCCGAACTGGCCACTCAGGGCAGTCCGGAACAGCAGCCCCTGGAGTTGGAGCTGGGTCCCGAGCGCACCGAGCGCAGTGATCTCGTGGCCGCCGCCTCCAGTTCCACGGACAAGCTGGAGTACGCCGAGCCGGAGAACACCAGTCGGCGGGTGGGCTTCCAGTTTCCCAGCTACAGCCTGAAGCCCGCCAGTCCCTTCCATCCGCAGGCCTACCGCGAGGATAACCCCATCTTCGGGGAAACCAGTGCCGGGGGCTATGAACCGCAGCCGTTCAGCGAGGATGCAGCCGCTCCCGCTCCGCCGCCCACGCAGTACGAGCAGCACGAGACGCGCCACACACGTCAGCTCTACTTCGACACGGACACGGCCTCCTCCAGCTTCGAGTTCCCCGGCCTGGTGAGCAACTCCAAGCCACATGGCCTCAAGTTGTACCGTGACGATGTGACCAAGTTCGGGGACATCAACGGACCGATCACCGCCTTGCCCCAGCAGCGACCCCAGCGTGGATTTTACTTCGGCGACACCGAGTTCAGGACAGGACCACCCGCCCCGGTCCGTCAATTTGGGCCGCAAAAGAATTTCCAGGAGTACGTGGGACCCACGGAGTACCAGGGATCGCGCAAGAGCCGCTACTACCCGTACAAATCGTCGCGCAGCCCGCGCGTCGTCTTCCCCACAAACGACAACGTGGGCACCACCGGACCCAGTGGTCCCGCCGGCAGCAGCGGACCCTCCGGCAACGGAGTTTACTTCAGCGACAATATTGCTTTTAGGTGGGTACTTGGACCATAAGAAAAGCTAACAAGAAACCCTCTTGATTAAAATATTGTTTATATGTCTTCCTCACTGCAACCAAAGTTTTGGAAGAAAAATATTTGCGTGGTTAAAAAAAATGACCAAGTTGCAATCAACAAAAACATAAGAAATTTAATATTTTAAATATTTCCACTTTGATTTTAATTTCTTGCTGTTTTTAGTATGAAAAGATTTTAATTTCTGCAATATTTTATTTAAATTTAAACCATACTCAGATATTGTGTTTTTACTATTCCGTTCTATTTCAATGCATAAAACTATGTATTTTTTTTTGGCTGTTGATTTAATTTGATCAATTTCAAAATTATTACACCTGTTACCTGGTTCACTATTAGATGCTGTGAATTAAGCCACATCATAAGATTAGGAAAGTTTAATAAAAACTTTTTTTAGTTGGCTATAAGTTAAAGAAGTAAGCCTACAAATATTAAAAGCCATGGCCATAGCTAACAAATTTTTAATGAAACCACTGTATATGATTTACAATATGTGAAACTTATGTTGTATATTGACCGAAACTCTCTATCCCAAAAACAGGGACCAGAACTTTGGCATCAACGAGTTGGCCGCCGTGCAGGATGTTCGGAACGACTACAGTCTGCAGGAGCTAGACAGCGCTTCGGAGGCGACTAGTAGTCCGCAGTCGGCGAGCACGTTCAAGGAGAAAGGTAAGTGCCCGTCCACGCCCACGCCTGCGCCTGCGCCCGCGCCCGCGCACTCGACTCGACCCCTCCCCGCATTCGGTAGGGCTTAGGATGGGGTTTCAGCCAGCTGCTGGGAAACTGCTTGCACTAGGCCACTTTACCCTCAAAGAAAAAAACCACTCACAAAACACCCCAGATTCCAATAACCACCAATACCAATACCCAAACACGAGAACATACCGATTGCAACTCCAACTCCAACTCCAAATCCGATTCCCATTCGACAGTCGACATCACAACGGACACGGAGTGCCAGCACCGGGGCGGTACGTGCGAGTTCTTTTTGGGCTGCTGGCTGTCCGGCGGCCTCATTCAGGGCACCTGCGACGGACTGCTGCGCGGCTGTTGCCACCGCACGGCCAAGTCGGCCAATCTGGGCAGCTCGGACTTCGTCGGCAATGCCGTAGATCTGACCGATCTGCCGCAAAAGAACTACGGACCGGTCAACAACGAACCCAGTGAGTGTGGCAGCCTCAGCTCGGTTTGATTGGGAGCCAAACCAACTCAAACTCAAACTCAAATCTCAAACTCAACTCCAAGCACGTGCACACTAAACCCAAATACCAAAAACCAAAAATATAAATAAAAAGCGGTTCAACAAAATAGTTGAGAAATAATTTGCATGCCACCTTTTAACAATTTACGTATATTTTGTAGTTCGTTTTGTTATGTAGTTATGCACTCGTAATTCGCATTTGTTATTGTTATTGTTACACTCTTGGGTAGTTTTCAGTGCCTAATTAAGCCGCAATCTCTGCAACTATTTGGGCCTAGATGTACGCAGATGCTTATAACACACGCCACTAAAAACAGCAAAAACAGCAAATACAGCCAAACCCACCCGCGAAGAAAGGCTGAGCACAACAAAAAAAACCAAAAAAAAAAGAAAGATATATATAAGTTTAATTGCCCGGCATGAGCATGTTAATTACCACAGCACGCTAATGATAATTAAGCCATATATTACACATAGCTTAACGGCATTACACTCCATGTCCAGACCCCGACCAAACTGAGACCCCAAATCCCATCAAGACGCGACGACTCGACTCTAGAAAGCTGATTTGAACCCGGCAGCAGCAGCTGCACGTTGCCCGCTTGTTTGGCCATTTATAATTGCTTGCTTGTTGGTCACCCCGTTGTTAAATGCTTCACTAATCCAATCCAATCCAGTCCATTCCCGAAAATTTCCCCGTATGCTAAGAGTTGTGATTTCGATTTATTTTTACCTTGCTTTTCCAGGTTGCGGCATTTCGCTGGCCAAACAAACCGCCCAGCGGCGCATTGTGGGCGGCGATGATGCGGGCTTCGGCTCCTTTCCCTGGCAGGCCTACATCCGCATCGGTTCCTCCAGGTAAGCATCTTCTGGGCTAGACTGCTCCCCCTTGGTCTAACAGCTTCTCCGACTTTCCAATTTCCAATTTCCGCCTGACAGATGTGGAGGTTCGTTGATCTCGCGGCGCCACGTGGTCACCGCCGGTCACTGTGTGGCCCGGGCCACTCCGCGCCAGGTGCACGTCACGCTGGGCGACTACGTGATCAACTCGGCCGTGGAACCACTGCCCGCCTACACCTTCGGAGTCCGGCGGATCGATGTGCACCCGTACTTCAAGTTCACGCCGCAGGCGGACCGCTTCGACATCTCCGTGCTGACGCTAGAACGCACCGTGCACTTTATGCCACACATAGGTGAGTTTTCGGGGATTACAAAAATTGTTTTTACATATACATATGTATATATGTAGGATTGGAAACGCCAGAGAGTTGCATTTTAGCATACCATATGATTTATTTATATAACATTAACAGAGAACATAGCAAGGAATAGGGATATATAATAATATTAAGAAATCTGTGTAAAACAAGACTGAATAACTAAACTAAATTGAATGCAACGAAAAACATTAAATTACGGAAACCTATCTCTACATATATACTATAAAAAATATATTTATTAAAGCATGTTTTATTTTATGATTTTCTATAAAACTTTCACTTCAAAAACCATTTCCTTATGATAATAGTTTTCTAAACAATAATTTAGTTATGATCAACCTTTTAACTGACCTAATGTCATTGACTTAATAATTTAGTCTTATCGCTAAAATAACGCCCAATGCTAAGCGGTAATAGTAAAGTTTTTTTTTGTTAATTCTGGCAACTTAACTTTAAAAATATTTAGTTTTAGTAGCTAATTTTTAGAACCTTTTTTGAAATAGAAAAAAAATAATAAAAGTGTTATAATATTTATGCTGGATATGCCAAAAAGTTATTTGTAAGCGTCAAACTACCTTTTAACGGACCGATATTATTGTTAATTTCAGCTCCCATCTGCCTGCCGGAGAAGAACGAGGATTTCCTGGGCAAGTTCGGATGGGCCGCCGGCTGGGGAGCTCTGAATCCGGGCTCTCGGTTGCGTCCCAAGACGCTCCAGGCCGTGGATGTGCCGGTGATCGAGAACCGGATCTGCGAACGCTGGCATCGGCAGAACGGCATCAACGTGGTCATCTACCAGGAGATGCTGTGCGCGGGATACCGGAACGGGGGCAAGGACTCGTGCCAGGGCGACTCGGGAGGACCCCTGATGCACGACAAGAACGGGCGTTGGTACCTGATTGGTGGGTGTTAGCCAGAGAGATGACTCCTCAACATATGACTCTTCTAATATATCCACTTCGATCTCCTCCAGGTGTGGTCTCCGCTGGTTACTCCTGCGCGTCCCGCGGCCAGCCAGGAATCTATCACAGCGTCAGCAAGACCGTCGACTGGGTGTCCTACGTCGTCGGACTCACGATGAACATCTAGGGACGACGACTCTAATTTATTCTCATCGCATTCGCACTCGCACCTGCCTGCTAAGTGGGCCCCAGATTGTTTTGTACATAACTCACTTCATTCTGCTCCCGACTCCCGACTCCGACTCAGAATCCGAATCCGCTTCTGATCCACGTCGACTCAATTTATGGTTACACAAAAAATATATTATTATTAATTTAACAAACAAATTAGCGCAGTACAATTTAGCAGTTAGGATTGTGTGTGTCTGCAAGATACACACGTGTGCGATATATTTGCAAACACCCTAAAACCTTTAAATTAATTATAACTGATAATTACGGTTAAATTTACTTAGTCATATGCGCTGTTATGTAATTTTAAAACTATTTATGAACTACATTTCGTGTGTAAATAAATTATACAAATGTTGAAATGAATTCGAATTTGTCAAACGTTTATTAATCGTACCAACAAAGTCCAAATGTCATTTAAATATTTTTCTCTACTCGTTGCTGTTGCAGTTGCAGTTGTTGTGGTTGCAATTGTCTTCATGTTGCTTCTGTGAATGTTACTTTTGGATGGGCAGACTCGGCAGATAGATCTGCTGATAGGGCACCCCAGTCCACGCATGTTCCGCATCCGGATAGTAAAACCCTCCCATTGCACCCTCCTTCGACTGCTGCTCCATCACGCGAAATAGGGTGAAAACCTCGTGGTAGATCTTGTAAAAAATAACTGAAGTAAAATACATATATTAGCAGAGTGGTGTCTTTGGCTGTTAAGCAGACCTACCCAGCACAAGCGTGAACACCAGAAGACACATCAGAAAGCTCGAAAGATCAATAAAAAGACCAGCGGTCGCATAGAAAACCCCCAAGTAAAGACCAAAGCCAAAAATAACGCCATGATAGATCAACCACGGATACATCAAACAACTTGAGTCCTTTGAAAGGGTGATAAACTATGTTAGGTGAATAAATAATATGGACAATATGTTTTACTATATTGGTACTTAATCAAAATAAAAATGACCTTATGCCACTTATGCAAAATTCTGCCTAACGCTACGAATATTTTATGACTTGAAATATCAAAAAAAAGGAATCTAAAAAATGTGTAAGCAAATATCTATGTTTATCCTAAGAATATAAGTAATATACTTTCTAAGGAAGATTCTATTATTAAAATAGCTGCAAAGGCTTATAAACTTCGTGCATCAAATATTATAATGTCTATACAGCAGATCCCATCTGTTCATTTAACTTACCCGGGCAATACCTATTAGCAGCAGCAGACTGACTCCCATATTGATCAGCGAAAGTCCATACACAATGGAGCTAAAGATGGTCAACACTGGTGACCAAAGATCAGTGATTAGTTCTTCCACCTTGAGTGGGTAATGTCAGCTAATTGTACTCACAACTGATCAGTACCTGCTGCTCTGTAACCGGGACCAAGTTCATGGGCCATTGCTTGAGCAGCAGTTCGATGTCCGACTGCAAGTGGATGGTCAGCAAGGAGCTGCCCAGGATAACGCTGGAGATGATCACGCCCAGCCAGCCAAGGATGAGGACATTGTACTTGAGATTCTGGCACTGCACATACGAGATGCTTTGACTGGCGGCCATCGCCACGGCAGAGATGGATGCCTTACCACCAGGACGCGGTGGATCGTTGGGGGCCATTGGAACCGTTTGTTGGCTGTCAACTTAACGTACGTTTTGCCGGATTCTGCTGTTCTTGGCGTCCGTTTTTGGTGTTTGGTTTGTGTTGCTGTTTGAGTGTTTGCAACAGAACAAACAACGATATACTAACTGCCAGTCAACTAAAAACACGGTGACAGGAAAGCCAGCAATCAGGGCCTGCTGGGTGTGTTATTGGTTAAAGCCATTTTCCCCACTATTGTTATTGTTACAAAAGAGAAAACAGTAAGAAAACTAATCAGTTAGATAATTCATCATGAAATCCGTTTAATTTATAGACAATCGTTACCAAAAGAAAATAACAAAAGAAATTCATAAGAAGTTATTTGTTTTGTAGATCTTAAAACTTCATTCTCACTTTCATGCTCAAAGACATCTAAGAGAGTGACACCTAAGAACCCTATTGAATATGGTAATACCACACAGCTCCGCCCAGCTGGCGACAAATTAGAAAGTTATATAAATACATGTGTGGCCCCCATTTCGGTTAGAGGTTCTCCTTTGTCTAGATGGCCTAACCCAAAAACACTTCGATTGCCGCAAGAGAACTGTTCCCATTCCGGCGACAGACGCCAGCGGTTGTGGCAATTATGTCGCATAAAATAATTATAACAGACTGGGAGAACATTTCCTGCTCCGCTGGCGGCGTCATCAGCATTTCGTAATAATTAGTAAGGCTGGGGAAGATCAGAGCAGCAAAGTGCCACAGAAGCTTCAGCAGCAACACCAACTGACGGCAGCAGCAAACCCAAACAAGAACCAAGATCAACCTGTTGCTGCGTCTTGGCTAATGGCGTGAAGTTAGTTTGCTTTTGGCCAGCGGCGCGTGCGGTTGTGGCTTACGACTCCATCTTCATCCATCCCAACGCGAAGAATAGTTCTCGGAATCGGGAAATGTGTGAGGTTCGGGTGCGTGGCTGCTGGGAAAAGGAAAACCGCTGACGGAAAACTGTGCCATTGAGCCAGTTCCCACTATGAGTACGAGTGTTATATAAAAATCCATTAGCCCCACCGCCAGCGACCCATTTGCAAGCGACCCCGAAACTTGTTCGCCTATCAAGGACACACATCTCTTTCACTCGAGAAGCTCTCGTGGCCGTGAGTCACCCAGACAGGCCCATAAACAGCAGCGTCTTCTAGCAGTAAAAGTGGAGCAGCAATAATAGGAAGTGTAAGAAGAAAACGGCAGAAGCCAGCTTAAGAGTGAATAAGAAATTGTCATGCTTTCATTAGCAACAAAAGCGTTGTAGCCCATTCCAATGAGCGTTTAAGTGTCATCAAGTGAAGTTAAGTGAAGTGAGAATTGTTACCCCGAATAAGACGTTAAGATGCAGTTGCAGCTGTGCCTGTGGCTGTGCCTGTTCCTCCTGCTCCTCTGCCATTTGGACCGCGCCCAAGCCAGTGAGTAGATCGTTTATCGATTCTGTAAGCCCCCAACTATCCCCATGCTGATCTCCTCCAGACATCCTGAACACTCTGCTGGGCGTGCCCGCGGAATGCGTGCACCAGAGCGGCGTCTGGCCCTGCAAGCTGAGCTTCTCCTGCTGGCTGCAAGGCGGCAAGCACGCCAAGGGCTGCGGCAGCAACAAGTGGCTCTTCAGCTGCTGCGTCGCTGAGCCGCTGCAACACAACCAGAACCAGCACCAGCAACAGCACCACTCCCCATCGCCGCTGGCCAACCTCGTGGACTACGGCAAGCTGAAGCTGAGCCTCAACAGCCTGCCCAAACGCATCATGCTGCGCAGACGTGACGACAACGAGCTGCTCGGTCTCAAGGTGGGTCTGAGTCGGCAATAATTGAGCCATTGCAACCGCGCAGAGCGGGATAATTGAGCAATTTTACAGCCAATTGACAGACAGGCAGGATTTAACTAATCAAAGCCAGATCAGGAACTGATTCTCCCTCTATAGCAGTTAAAAAAGACACAAATATCAACTTAAAACTTCAATAACACAGGTAGAGAGCCAAAAAACTCCACGAACATTTGTATTTTTCATTATATTTATGTGTAAAAGTCCCACAACAATTTATTTTCATTACCTACAATTTCGGCGTTATAGTGAAAACATTTTAAATTTTGTAGATTGGAATTATGTTTGGTTTTTATTGCTGCAATACACTCTCAATTCACCACCGCATTTAAAAAAAAAGTTCTGTATTGAAAAATTCATACAAGCCTAAAACTGTAGTAGATATTAACCAATAATTGTGCTGACGTGCTGTAAGATATCCTTTTGAATGTTTTAAAACCAGTGTTAAAGTGGTTTTCATTGCAGTTATTTTTGTTCAGCATCGAGCTCGTGCATGAAGAGAGTGAACATTTTTATGAGCTCAGCTTTAATACTTCTTTGGCAATAATATTATTTATTAAAATATATTTGTATAAATTCTCAGTATAATAAATTGTTTACCAAAATTGTTTGCAGCCGGAGTGTGGATTGCCACGAACGGCGCAGAATACTCTGCAGAAGCGCATTATCGGCGGTCGTCCGGCGCAGTTTGCCGAATATCCGTGGCAGGCGCACATCCGCATCGCTGAGTACCAGTGCGGTGGAGTGCTCATCTCGGCCAATATGGTGGCCACGGCCGCCCACTGCATCCAGCAGGCCCAGCTGGCGGACATCACCGTGTATCTGGGGGAGCTGGACACGCAGGATCTGGGCCAGATCCACGAACCGCTGCCCGTGGAGAAGCACAGCGTGCTGCAGAAGATTATCCATCCGCGCTTCAACTTCCGCATGACGCAGCCGGACCGCTATGACTTGGCCCTGCTGAAGCTGGCCCAGCCGACGGCCTTCACGGAGCACATCCTGCCCATCTGCCTGCCGCAGTACCCGATCCGGCTGATTGGCCGGAAGGGTCTGATCGCCGGATGGGGCAAGACGGAGGCGCACATGGGCCACGCGGGCACCAATATGCTTCAGGTGGCCAGTGTTCCCATCATAAGTGAGTGTTCATGTAGCAGTACTCCAGTGAATAGAAAATAAATGGTGATTATTTCAGCCACCTTGGACTGCATTCGCTGGCACGAAAGCAAGCAGATAAATGTGGAGATTAAAGCGGAGATGTTCTGCGCCGGTCATTCCGATGGCCATATGGATGCGTGTTTGGGTGAGTTTCTGCCATCCTTCCAAATGACTATGAGTAAAGAGCTATAATTTTTAAATTAATAATAATAATCATCAACACTCAGAGGTGAAGCAGCAACAAAATAAAAATATTAATAAAACACTGCATATTTTTAGGCTTTACTTTAGTAAATTTCTGTTAAACATAAATTGGCTAGACAAAAGGCCTAATAAACTTTTAAAAAAATCAATAGTAAATTTTGTTTAGAAAATATTTTTATATATTATAATAATTGAATTTAAAAGAAAAAACATTGTTTAATACAATGGTCAATTCATAGCAATAAATTCTTAGACGGTCTTAATGCATACTTTTCATTAAGTTTACATGTGATTAAGCATTTATGTTGCAATATGTTTCTATTCATTTAAATTGGATTTTATTTATTTTGTGTATACAAACAGTTAGAGTTAGATATTTTCAAAATTGTCTTTTCGCATTTCTTTGCTCAAACACACCTCAATTAATAAGACATCAAAATCCCCGGATGGTGACTTTAAAACTTAAAGGCGAAGTTTTGTTTTTTTGTAAACTTATAAGTGTTCTATTAAAATTCTATTCTTTTCATTAAAGCTGTTTAATTATTTTTCTATATTTTGTATACCTACCTTACCCATTATTGTATGTTTTTCAGGAGATTCCGGAGGTCCACTGGTGATCAGGGAACGCGGACGCTATGTGCTTGTAGGCATTACCAGTGCAGGCTTTGGCTGCGGAGTAGATCATCAGCCAGGTGATATTGCAAAACCTGCAGTTCAAACAAAAAACTAACAATTCGATTTCAATTCAATTTACTTGGAACAGGAATCTATCACAATATTCAGAAGACTGTGAGGTGGATACAGGAAGTGGTGACGCGCAACGAGTTATAGCTGCTGATGACCCTGAAAATCCCACCCGAACCTTTGGCAATGCAACCCATCTCATTAGTTTACGGCTCGTAGCATTAGGCAATGGAAATGTGCAATCCCCGGCCAGAGACACAATATTTACTAGATTTAATAAACAATACAATTAGCTAATGGTAATTACTTTTGCCATTCGGGGGAAGTGGGCTAGAGGCCGACCTTGAACGCCGCCCGCTGCCAGAAAAAAGAGAAAACCAGGCGGCCAAAAAAACAAACGAGCCTCTTTGTCGGGTTATGTCACTGGTTTTGGCCTATTTGGTGGAGTGCCACAAATGGCACAATCCCCAACTGCCAGGCGGTAATTTGTACATTAGGCGCATTAAGCCCTGCCAGCCTGCGTTGCCCAATGTTGTTGCGCAGTGCAATTGCTGCTGCTGTTGCTGTTGCTGCTGCTGTTGGGATTTCTGTCGTGCTGCACCGCAGCAACATACGTATTTCGGTGGGCGGTGGCAATGAAATCGAAAATGTGTGCCACCGAACGGCCAATTATTATCGACTGGTAATCATTGGGCCCGGCTCGAAAGCTTCTTTGCTCCGAACACAAATGTCACGCTTGAAACAAAGCACCCATATGGCTGAGTTGGATTTTCCGGCTGCAATTTGTTCGGCAATTGTTGGTTTTGCTAAAACACCAATTTGTGTTTGGGGGAAAACGCGACTTCCTCTTCGGAATGGTGAAGGTAGAGAGGCGCTAGTGGGCAAAGAAATTGGAGATTAGTCATGGCGACAACACAAGAGCCAGCGGCAACATGCAATTGCCAGTTGAGCGACAAAACTCGTTGCCTTGGCCACTTTCGTTTTCAATGCGGGTCTCTCGCCGTCTTGGATCGACTTGGATTGACTTGGCTTTTCTCTCTACCGCTCCGCTCTTCTGTGACTATTACTCAATAGTCGGAGCTCGGCGCTCGGCACGCTGCGTACCGCTCAGCAGTCGGTTGGCGGTGCTGATGGCATTTTGATTTTGAATTTGTCAGCCAACTGTTTATTAAGTGTTTCGACGCGACGGCACACTGTTCGCGAACTGCGGCTGCATTTGGGCGACGCGAGACCGCAGAAAACGGAGTGTGTAAGATATTAAAGATACCCCTCCCCCAACCCCTGAAATATTGGCGTAGCCGCGAAAAAAAAAAACAGAAGAAGGCGGAGAAAATTGTGAACTTAATTCCATTTACTGGGCCGCCCTCTCCGTTTCGGCGTGCTATGCAAACGAGGCGCGATTATTCAATCAAAAACTCGCGCCGCTACGTGAATTAAGTGAAACACAATTGCAGAAATCAGTGACAGCCGCGGCAACAACAAGTGTAAACAACAACGAAAGTATTGCAAAATGCGCTCGCCGCACCAACTGTTGCTGTTGCTGTTGCTGCTTGCAACAGTAGTTGCTTCTGTTATTGCTGCCGCTGGCCACAACAATTACAACTCGGTGTACAACGAGGTGATCTCGCCGGAGCTCAAACAGGCCATCAATAAGGAGCTGCCCAAGGAGGCCAAGTTCTTCGATGAGCTGGACTGTGAGTATAGCACTTAAAGTTTCCCCTTCCTTACGGTCAAGTCAAATCGAGTTCGTTGCCTAAGTCTTCCGTTTCGCCTTACACAATTTGCATATTAGTTAACACGTCATGGCTAACCTTGATCTTCGCTGCTCCTCCATGTCAAGTTCGGCCCAATTCCCAATCGAGGCAATTGAGAAACCCCTTTTGAAGATCGGACTTGGGCCCCGGCGAAAGTTGAGCATTCCGTTCTTGGGCAGCCAATTCATCTTGTTTAATTGGACTTTCCAAGAGAAAGACACGAAAGCCAATTAAGCCCGAACTTAAGGTGATTACACATTAACATAAAGGCACAAACTGCGAGATGTAGATAGATCCACAAAGAAAGGCCGCGTTTTTGGGCAACTGTGAATGACTATTAAAACGATGGCCAGCCAGGCAAAATATTATTAATCAAATGCCAGCATGTGGCGGCTGCACAAGTTCAATGGCAGCTGCTGCCGCCACGGATATATGTAATACGAGTACGACTACGACTACGACTACGACTATGAGTGCGAGAAAAGCAAAAGTGTTTCCAGATACCGATACACAGACAGGAAAATCAACTGCAATTAACTTCAATTGCGCACTCGGCGCATTGGAAAGTGTTAACAGCAACCGCCGTGAGTCGGCCATTTTCCCAAAGATTATAGATTATTTGGTTTGGCCTTTTATGTAAGCAGAAACCTTGGCCAAAATAGAAAAAAAAACCCAAACCCAAAAAAGACCAATTGAAGTCGAGCAAATTGATGCCCGGCAACATGTTGTAGCTCTCAGCTTCGCTGGCAACATTGTTGCGCCGCCGCTCTGCTCTGTTTTTGTTTTTGTTTCGACGAAGCTGCTCTGCAAGTGAAATGGCCAAAAGCGGAATGTCTTCGGCTCTTCGGCTGCTTTTCGGACCTGGTAGCTGGCAGCTAGCAGCTGGCAGCTCGGCTCGTGGCCACAAAAGCTTGGCTTAGTTCTGAGCCGATTTTCCCGACGCGCGGTCGCCTTTCTGTTTGCTCGCTCCTCGCCGACTGTGTGCGCGTGCGTAAAGAAAGATAATTCCAGGGGCATAAAAGTGAAGCGGCGATTACAATTTTCTTTTTTCGAGCGTCGAAACTGCGCATGCGTGAACCGCTCAAGAAAGCGCCCGATGAAAACAAAAGTGAAATCCTTGGTGAACTAGTGGCAGGACTGCAGCTTGTCACGATCGACTTGCACTGACGGCTAGCGACAAAAATCAATCATAAGCCAGAAAGCGAAAGTGCAGCTACCCCCTCAATCGAAAGTGAAAGTCCGCGAGGAGAATCCCTCTTCAATCCCCTTCAATTCGTTCAATTGCCATGCTGCCATTGCCCCCACACTCCAAGGACACCTGGCTTCGGTTGGTCATCCTGGGAGCGGTGGCCATGTGTTCGCTTTCCCCCCCTGGAGTCGATGGCCTGGGCTATCCCAGTGCCCAGCAGGAGCACGACATGCTCATCCTGGACGCCCTGTCCCGCCGCAGTGGAACCGGATACTATGGCGAGAATAGCGTGATGGAGATGCTTTCCCGAAGTACTTAACCCTGAGCCCCAACCAATTTGACTTGACTCGACAGACCCCCAAACCCAAACCCAAACCCAAACCCACGCCCTCCTCTTGACTAATCTCATTCCCCCCCGTTGCCCCTGTCTTTGCAGTGATACCGCAGTCGTGCCGCTTTCGTGGCCACAAGTTCGAGTGCGGCCTGTCCATCTCATGTGTCTTGGGCGGCGGCAAGCCGCTGGATCTCTGCTCCGGCGGCATGATTTGGTCGTGTTGCGTGGACAAAGATCTCGACGCCGAGGAGAGTCCGCATGCCGCCCCGGTCAATAACACGAGTAAGTATCGCCCCCAACCAAACGCCTCACCCTCACCATTTCCCATTCCCAAAAACCAGGCAATCAGTTGATTCTGAAAGACATTTCACCTCCTGCTTTCCCTGCGCCGTTCCCGCGCATTGCAAATTGTTGCGCTTTGAGTTATGCAACTCGGCTTTGTATACTAGAGCAATAAATTAGCTTGCATTTCGAAAATGACAACAAATTGCTCTACGCAAAGCATAGCCTTTGGGCCCCGGTCCGGGGAAACTCACCTAAATAGCAAAAAATCTGGTGTTTTAATATATAATATAATAGGTTATATAATATTGATGATACTGCAGATCTTTTTGTATTCTTCTAAACCTTGACAAATAAGCTTTCTTTGTTCATAAAAATATTAATTTCTAAGATTATTAAAGAGTCTCAAAAAACTTTAAATTCTTTAGCTAAAAATGGTTTCAAATGCTTTTTACCGGAAAATATTTAATAATCGCATTAGTTTTTTTTTAAAGTTCAAGTTTTTATTCATTTATTAAAGAAAAATAACTTTTAGACTTAGAAAGATGTGTTTTTGTGTTTTGTGTGTTTTATATTGTCAATATTGCTAAAAGAAGTTTTTTGCCAATCAGTTTTAAAATTAAAGGAAAAGCTTGAAATGCTATTAATGGAAATTGCTAGTACGCATACTTTTTACAAATGGTTAGTCTTCTTCACTGTGTTGCTGAATTTTCATAAAACTTGAATATCTGTTACAAACTTCTACGAAATAAGTTTACCCTATATCTCCCAGATCTCTCAGAAAAACTAATGTTAGGCGTTTCCATTAATAATCTTTATTCTTGGCTTAGAGAAATTCAGTATTCTGACCTAACAAATAACAACATTTGAGGCAACCAGTTTTTTTTTAATGGAAAAGACTGAAGCACAGTATGGTATTAAAAATTTATACAAAATCTTCTTTACCAAAAATATATATATTTATATATATTATATATATTCGTAAGTATTATTTACTTCATACGCTCACATTTTGAAAACCAATTTAAACAGAGTTCGCTGGTTTGTGGATCAATTGGTTTCCCATCAAGTGCATTGGTTATATCGTAATCGAGGTGAATGCAATGGCCAATTCGGCAATAAGTGCAGCAAGAAGACCTACGAATAGAGGCAGAGCCACTTATATTATGCCACTCACGCATCGGTATAGCCAACGAAGTTTTGTTTATTTGGCTACTGTGAGCCACCGTTTTCCTTCTTCAGCTGTTCCGCAGCTATTTTGTTGTGCTCTGTTTAATTTTCTAGATTTCTGCCTTCTTTTTTCGAATGCGCACGTTACAAACATAAAAGCAACCTGAACAATAACAAAGCATTACAACATAATATGAATAATTCTTAGTGGAAAATTTTGTTTTTCACCGCCTCTCTCTCTCTCTCTGCCCTTTTTTTGTGGAAGCACATCAATCTCGTCTTCAACCTTTTCTTTTACCGCAATTTAACTTAATTTTGAGAGTTTTTTCCCCACTTTTCGGTGAACATTTCCTCGAAGCCTACAAAGAAGCGGGTTCTGCGTGCTTTCTTTGGTAGTTCATGTGTAAAGTTTTCCCAAGCCGTCTGGCGACAATGATAAAGCTAAAAAGCCGAAAACCGGAGTCAACCCCGAAATGGGCAAAACTCACTTGCGGAAATAAGCGAAGGTGAACGTTTTCGCATTTAAAAGTGAAATTTTTGGTTTTCTTTCTTTGTTTCAATTTGGCTGGTCTGGGCCCTGCACCACCCTGCACGCAGCCCCTTTCGAGGGTTTTATTATTTTGTTTGCTTTCAAATGTGGGAAAAATCACAGCGCAAAAGTTACGGCACAGCCAAACCAGGCCGAGCTCCTCGAAAGTGTTAATCAAGACATGACGCCGTTCTGTGTGTCCCCCCAAATGGCTTTCGGATTGGTTTGAATTACGTGCGAAAGACCCAGTCTTTGTCTTAATGGCCAGACTGGCCCCACTGACCACTCTGCAGTACATCTGGGCCTGACATAATCGCGATCGTGTCTGGGGTCTCACTTTTTATTATGATTGCATGTCAGCTTTTGGGCGAAAGTCTGACTCTCTGAGTTGAGTGGTCAGATCATCAGATCATCAGATCATCATCCTGTATCACAATTCTCCCACACAGGCGACATAATACACTTGCATGACATTTACCCCGACCTGTCGACGAACGCCAACAAGCCGCAGCACCACCTGCACCACCACAGTGGCAACGGCCTGTCAGCGGCCCCATCCACATCGTCCACGGCGTCCTCCTCCGCCCGTCCGGCCTATCCCAGCAGCTACTACGGCACCAAGCGACCAGCCTTGTATAACGGCGGTTCCAATCCCTACAAGCCCGGCGCCACCCGCCCCTCCTCGTCCTCCTCCTCATCCAGCCTGAACAGCTGGGAACACGAGGGTGGCGGCCACTTGGGCTCCAGCTCCATCAATGGGATCACCAACCACCTGGACAGCTTCTTCGATGCCGAGGCCACGCCGCCGTTGGATTCGGCCGGCGCACCACCGCCCCACGAGCCACTGCCCAACGCACAGGCCTTTGCGGTGGGAAATGTCCTGGATCTCAATGCTGGCGAGGCGGCGGATGAGTACCAGAGTGGCTACCACGGCGATGCCAGCTATCGTCCAGTGCCGGGTACAAAGCAATCTCACACTCTCTCCTCTCTGGCACCACTGCATTTGGGTTTCCTTTAAGCTGCACCGCACCACACAACCACTCACTTGCTCTGTCACACTGATCTCTTAGATTCTGTAGCTCTTTTTACTTTACTTTACTTTGGTGGACTTCTTAGGGTACCTATAAGAATTTCCCTTTCTAAAACATAGCCTATTCTTTAATCGCAGGCTGCGGCGAGGTCTACACCCGGTCCAATCGCATTGTGGGCGGGCATTCCACCGGCTTTGGATCCCATCCCTGGCAGGTGGCGCTGATCAAGAGTGGATTCCTCACCAGGAAGCTCAGCTGCGGTGGTGCCCTGATCTCCAATCGATGGGTGGTTACAGCCGCCCATTGTGTGGCCACGTAAGGCTTTCATGGAAATAATATAAAAATATTAAATATAACAATAATAATATCTTCGCAACCAGCACCACCAACTCCAACATGAAGATCCGCCTGGGCGAATGGGATGTTCGGGGGCAGGAGGAGCGGCTGAATCACGAGGAATACGGCATCGAGCGGAAGGAGGTGCATCCCCACTATAATCCCGCCGACTTCAAGAACGACGTGGCTCTGATCCGATTGGATAGGAATGTGGTCTATAAGCAGCACATCATACCCGTCTGTCTGCCGCCTTCGTCTACGAAATTGACGGGAAAGATGGCCACCGTGGCGGGGTGGGGGCGAACCCGACATGGCCAGAGTACAGTGCCGTCCGTGCTGCAGGAGGTGGACGTGGAGGTGATCTCCAACGATCGCTGTCAGCGGTGGTTCCGCGCGGCAGGACGTCGCGAGGCCATCCATGATGTGAGTGCTCCACAACTATGTTCGGGTTACCTTCTGACCCTTCTATTCCCCTTTAGGTTTTCCTGTGCGCAGGATACAAGGATGGCGGAAGGGATTCCTGCCAGGGCGACAGCGGCGGACCGCTCACGCTGACCATGGACGGTCGCAAGACGCTGATCGGACTCGTCTCCTGGGGCATCGGCTGTGGCCGGGAGCACCTGCCCGGCGTCTACACCAATATCCAGCGTTTCGTCCCCTGGATCAACAAGGTCATGGCCAACGACAACGCGTAGGAGGCACTGCATCGCACTGCATCGCACTGAACCACAAAACCAGATAACCACAACCGGAAGACTGCAGTCACCGTTCGAGGAGTCCTGCAGTCGTGTGCGTCCGCTGCGGAGATGCATCCCGTTAGCCAGGCCATGTGATTCCTCTACGACTCGGGGTTGCTAGTGTGTAAGACCAAGGTCTTTGGGGCCTTGTATTTATTTGACTTTTACCCATATGCCTGTCCTGAATCAATCCCTTCGCCTTCATTCGTTTCTCATTGCATTTCACGCATTCGATTTAAGTTTTCGATATTTATTATACACTGATCGACGATAGATTCCTACATTTGAGATGATCCACTTTCACTTTCACGTACATTTATACTTCTAATTTTAATTATGTTTTAAAAAACAAATAAAAAGTATTCAAGTTTATATGATTTGTTTGTTTTCACTTTTACAGCTACTCCTAGACTAAAAGATTATATTGTATTTGAATTTGTATCTAAATGAAAATATTACGCCTAGGTGCAGGCAACACTTTTTGTTATAGGAATTTACACAAATTTTACATTTACATTGTGCACTTATAATGTCTACATAGTTTGGTTTGTGTCTCCGATGAATAAAAATACATTGCATACTTTTCGCCAGCCTCTCAACCATGCAACTAAAAAATGATTTCCAAATAGATGGGAATCTGTATTTATCTTTGTTAGACAAATAAAAAAACAGGGGCAGCAAACATCAGCCAGAAAGGCACAAAAGACACGAACAACAAACAGAGATATCTTCGGGAGTCGAGATAAAAACATTTTGGGTTGAGCGTAGAGTAACTGGGTCCATGCAACAGGTGCCACATGCGGTGCATGAGCTGAATTTCTAATGAGCCCAACTTCCGCTGGCTGGACACTAGCCCCTGAACCTGGCCAATATCATCACCGGGCATCAAGTGGATTGCGGGCCATCAAAATTCAATAACAAATTCGGGGGGAGAGAGACACGGTCAATGAAGGAGCTTATCAGCCACTCTCTCTGCCGTCAGATCGCCCCGCTCTTAGCATCCACAATGGCATCCACTTCTTCGGGCATCGGCAATTGGCCAAAGAATCGGGGATCGGGGATCGCCTGGGTTTCCAGTCCCCAGTCAGTTGCCGTGGAGCAGCCCCAGTGTCAAGGTCTCTCGAGTTCAAGGAACGGCCAAAGACACGCGTCATCGCCAAGTCAGTCAGTGGTTGATAGTTAATTGTGCGTTGTGTTTTGTTTTGTTTTGTTTTGTTTGGCTTGGTTTGGCTGGATTCATTAAACCAAGATGTTGTGAGACGCGTTTTGTGTGATTTATAATTGGGTTTCTTTGGCACTTAAATGGCTTTTTCACGGAGCCTAATGATGTGATATGAGTGTTTGGCGGTAGTGTTGCCATAATGTACAATACGAATCCAAGTTACTCAAAAAAGAGTGCATTCTACAAAGCTAGAAAGTGCTGTTACCGATCATTTTAGAGGAAGTGTTAAATATTACCTAGTAGAAAGTGTATCTTTTCACAGAATCACAAATTTCCTTCTCAGAATACTGCAAAATAAAGGAAGTCACCATGCAATTCTTATCAGCCAACAGGTTTGCCTGTTAGCTTCAGCATAATAAAGATTGACTTTCTTAACCTGACGACGTGCATAAATTAAAAGACAAACAAACGGCGGCCCTCACACTCACAAAGGTGACAAAGAATGGCAAGCGGCAGCAAAAACAAAACTCATTTGCACCACAAAATATTAAAAGAAAAGGCCAGGCTATCTGCATATCCGTGTGTGTGTGTGTGTGTGTGTGTGGGTGTGTGTGTTGGCCGCACTGTTGTCTTCTGCTTCTTGCTATTTTAATGTGAAAGCGCTGTTAACCCCAAACGCCTTTACCCCACCCCCCGCCAAACACCTTTTGCCGCCAATCAGCTGTGAGCCGTCTCAACAAAAAAAGAGAGAGGTGGCCTAAAGAGAGAGAGGTGGTTCATTTGAATAAGAAACAGAAACAGAAACAGCGCCTAGCTTTTGGCCGTTCTCGCTGTTGGCCTTAATGGAAACCGTTATGCGCGTAGCGCAGTCGACGTCGACTGCACGCATGCGCACATGTTAGTGGCTTTGTTTCTGTTTTTGGTTTTGTTTTTGTTTTTGGTTTTGCCTTTACTCTTGGTTTTGGTTTTGCACCAGAGCGAGCGAGAGAGTGAGCTTAGCTTACTTACTTACCAATTTCGCCTTACCAAGTTCTTCGGCTCTGACGGCGTGGCCAAATCTCAGTCGCAGTGGGCAGCGGCAGTGGCAGAGGCAGAGCTTCACCTGGCTTCACCTGGTTTGTGGATCTTTTGTGCGAGCTCCACTCCGCAGACGTGCGCAACTTGTCGCGCTCTTAACTTGGTCTTCTGCTCGTCTTCCGTATTCCGTATTCCGTACTCCGCGTGAGTGTGCGGAGCCCAAAGGAGTGTGTGTGTGTGTGTGCGTGTGTGTTACTGAAATAATTGGCCTGACCCAAAGTCGCGAGGCAAGTTCAAGTGCAAGAATACAAACCGAACGGAAACGAATTTCGGGAACTAAGATTTTCCCAGCCGTCCTAACAGTGCTTTTTGTGTGGATTTTTTTTCCAACAAAATAACAAAGGTATAATTCCGGAAAAAGGCCAAGAGCCAGTGTCAAACAAACGAGCCAAAAGTGAAGAAACTCATAAAACGAACCAGCCACGAAGAGCTAAGAGTTATAATAACACTCATATGGTAACAGCAAATTAAAAGAAATGACCCAAAATAGCTGGCCGCAGTGAACCGATCCGCGACGTCAACAGAACTGGCAGCCAACGCAAGTAAATGCAAAAGATCCGAGACTAAGATACGCATCCGCCAGATATGCCGGCCTATTGTCTGTGTGTGCGAGTGTAGCGAGCTAGTGCCCAAAGTAGCTGTGCACTTTCTACCGCGTACAAGTCAATTAAGCGCCAACTCACTACGGTCACAGATACAGAATCGGATACAGATGCCGAGATACAGATACAGCTATAGCTACAGATACAGATACAGATACAAGTACAGAGATACAGAGCAGCCGATAGATGCGCAGCATAACTGCAACTAACTGCACCAGCGCAGAGGCAGCAGCAAAACAAGAGCAACAAGTTCAAGCGCCGCAAACACGGCCAAAGCTCAAAAACGAGTCCAAAGCAAAAGTCGCCGTCCGCTCTGCTCCTTCTGTAAATTTATTGAAATTCCTGTAAAATGCAGGCGAACCAAGGCGGCTTGCCACAAGAGTTAGCAACAGCAGCAGCACCAGCAGCAGCAGCAGCTTACTATAGTACAAGTGTTTCAATTGCGCTGCGACTGCCGACTGCTTCTGCTTATGCTTCTGCTTCTGCTTTGCCTCGGCTGTTGGGAAAAAGGCAAGAGCAGAACTTTGCCGTCTCCAGCTTCCCCGCCAATGGTTTCGCCTCCTTTGCACCCTGGCAAACGATTTTTGCTTTTCGGTTTTAAGAACTGGTCTGATAGTGGTTATGCCAATGCGCTGGCGAGGGTATGCAGGGTTGAATGAAACACTGAACACTATGCGAAGGCAGTCTTAATGTTGCTTAAGGATATTGTTGTAAATTTGACACTTATGATGTTAATTTTTCTTTTCTAAAGAAAGCAATTATTTTATCTAACGTAGGTGCTAGGATGGGGTATCCTAATTTTCCTAATACCATTTCATAGGCAATTTTGGCCTGCGTTGAAATTTTCTCAACTATAATATTAAAACCAAAGACCTACTCTTGAGAGTAACCTTTTCAAAAGTTTATTAAAATGTGTCAATTGAAAATGTGTCGAAATGAGTACCAGTGGGTCGACTACACTGCTACACACACCAGCTCTTCCTTATTGTTTGAGGCCTGCCAGTCCGCCTGTCTTTGGTCTAAAACGCACTCGACAGCATTGGGGGTACAGATGCGAAGGGGACCGGCGAACAGCACGCTTGTCTTGCGGCCACAGATGATCTGGCAGTAGGATGCCTGTTGCGTTATTTGCATTTCACGTTCTGGGGCGCTCTGGTTTATACAGGTTTGCCGGGCCAGAACTCCTGCCAGGCCGATGATGATTGGAGGATGATGGGATGATAGGATGAGGGGCTGCGTAGAGTGGCATAAAATGCCAGGGCGTAATTATTGTAATTTGCATTCGGCATTTGCAATTGAGAAATTGCCGTTGATGGTTGCATTGAACCTGCAGACGCAGCTGCCGAAACAATTAGCCGGCCCTCAGCGACAGGCGATGCGCACGCCTGCCCATCAAGTTTGTGCCCAGAGTCTTTCGTTTTCAACTTATGAACTGGGCCTCCCTTGGCCGCCAGTTGGGGGACCGGCAGCCCAGAGCTACCTAGCCGCTGAGCCATGGCAGCCCGCAGCTGAGTGGACACAATACCAAAAAAAAAAAAAAACAACAAAAAAATAAAATAAAATACACACAAACAAAATTTCTCCGAGCTCCGTTTTTGGTAAGCAGAAATGAAAGCAGCGTCAAGCGAGACGCACTTCTTATTTGATTACACTAGAAACGTAGTCCATGTGTATGTGGTTTCTTTTTGACGAACTAGTCGTTCCATGGCAAATGGCATAATTCTTTTGTTCAGCATTTGAAATTACAAGCTGCTGCTGCTGCTGCTGGCATTTCACTTTTCTTTTAGGTAAATACTAAAAAAAAAAAAGCCACAAAGAAATTTGTTGGCTTTCGCTTTTACTCGGGGTAAACTTGGTTGCAAAATGTATTTTTAATAACAAACAAAACAAATTGTAATTTCACTTTTAACGAGCAAATGAAATTGTCACTTGTATCGAGTCGCAAAGTGGAAATTACTTAATTGCCCATAAAGTTGGAGCTGGAGGGACGGCCCGGTGTTGGCCGATCCAATCCGATCCGATGGAAATCAAAATCAAAATCATGCAAATCATCCGCTGCTTCTGACCCAGATCCGGCAACATCTCGCTCTTCCCAGGCATTCTGGTTATCGCTCAGAAATTCATGTTAATTTGCACACACAGCCAACGCCGACACAATTATACAGATACGCATACCGATATGGTCTGAACGTGACCCAAATACACAAATAGCTGGCCAACATTTTTGAGGCTGCGAAAAGCCAAACAATCGTGGAACTGGACTTGAGATCATGTGTAATGCTATTCAATGTATTCAATGTATTTTTCGGTTCGATTCTAGTGTTTAATTGAGGTGATCCGCCTGCATACTCGTTAGTTTTATGTTTTATGGCTTCCGTTCCTAATTACGGACTTGATACGGATTTAGCATTTTGGGCTTAATTAAAGCCATTTACTAAGCTGCGGTCCAAGTTCCTCGGAGCCCGGTTCAACGACCGTATTACGCAACGCACAGAACAGCCGCTAACAATGAGAGTTACTCTGCCCCTTCGCTCGCCAAACGCAGCTAAAATCTCAACGCTGCAGAATCGTGACTGAAAGAAAGGCCATGCCATACCACACCAATCCAAAAGCAAACAGAACAGAGCGGCGCGGAGCGGAGCTGAACAGAACAGAACGCTCGATCAATGAATGTGTTGTCACCGCAAGAGGCCTCCGGGCATGGGCATAAGTATGCGAGAAATAGACGCAAAGCGACTCGCCTTGTCATCGGATCCCGGAGCAGGTCCAGTTAACTCCAGCCAACTCATCATCATCGTTTGTTGTCGCCAGTTGTTGGTTCGCTTTCTTTGATTGCTCCGGTTTATGTCATCATTTCTGTACATTTTCCAGCCATGAACTTTCTTTGCCAGATCGAACTCCGGCTCAATTAGGCGTGTGTTGAACCTCGAGCTGGGATGGGTTGAGAACCAGTCGGCAGGCACCTGTGGCCCTGGGAATGGGAACCGGGGGTTAAATGCATTTCCGTGCGGTTATATAAACTGTGGGCAGATTATACAATCAGTAAAACGATTCCCGTTTGGGTCGCTTTCTATGCACACACACTTTTGCTTTCCATTTGGGGCATTTTAGGCATGACTAAACCAAGCAATACGCCATATTACACATACGCCCCGAATGCCTCGGCAAATTTAGCTTCGTTCGGTTTCTGTTTCTGTGTTTTGTTTCATTTTTCCCCGTTTTTGCATATGCAAGTCACCGGAGACAGACTTTCACCTACTTGAGTCAGCGGCGAAGTATTGCTTCTACGCACTTGTTGCTTCCTCTGTTTCGCCCGCTTCTTTTTGTTATTGTTGCTGGGCCGTGCCCATCGGTTTTGGTGTAGAAAAAAAAATATATGGATAAATTTAGTGATCAATTTGAATATGGCCGTAAAAAACGTTTCACATTTCACATGACTCATATGAAGGGGAGAAGACTAACCAACTTGTATGCTCTTTTTGCAGATGGGTGCACAACACACGGATTCAGACACCTACACGTACACAGCAGCCAGGGCGGTAGAAGCCTCCGATCTGACCCTCAACAAAAGTAGAGCATCAGCGATAGCCCCGGCCAAGATGCCACGCCCCAGCCTCGTCTTCAGCCTCCTCACACTGGGCAGCCTGCTGCTGCTGCCGACGACGACGATAGACGCCAGTCCCGTCTTTGTGGATAATCCCAGCTTAGCACAGTGTAAGTACCCGACTTGCCCACTCTCACCTCACTTATTGAATCATCGGACCAATCAAGTTCACGGGTGTCAAGTCATTGACGCTCTCACTTAGCTGGAATTACTCAGCTGCAGATGCAGATACCGATCTCATCAGGCCCTTTCTTCTACATTGTTTCCCAAGAACTCCAGCACTTTCTCTCACGTAGATAATTAAATTTTGTTTTCTTTTGGAAACGCACAGCCAGGGGAGCATCTAAAGAGATTAAAATGAAATTAGGCCCAGGCCCTCCTTTATACAGAAGCTATAAGAAACTTAAACAAAATATAATAAGCACGTTCCAATTGAAGTAGCAAGTATGAGATGGGATGTCTGGCACACCCTTTAATTATTTTAAAGTCATGCAAAAGTCAAAAACTTCATAGTTTTTATGCAACTAGGACACTTCTGGATAATTTTTAAAAGTATACAACCCATTATGAAGACTGCTTGGTGCCATTCAAGCTTACAAACTTTTCCCAATCGAGTTTTTAGGTACACTTTTCTTAACATTATGTTAGAAAATTTTTAGCTAATAAATTTAAAGCCAAATATAAATAAAAACACTTTTGACAATAAATAAACGGATAAACGAAGATTAGAACTAAAGCTCAACTATTTTATAGTTAAAGTAGTTATCAGTTATTACAACTCAAAAGATATAGTAAAAAATCTTACAGATTAACGACAAAAAATATGCGGATAAACATAAATTTAAATAACCAAACGAGTTTTTTATTACAGTTTTTTTCGAAGTATTAGCCATAAATATTAAACCTAATAGCAGATGAACAACTAGACAAACATAAACTTGAACCATATTAAGCCATAACAAAATTTATTTAATAGTCTTTTCTTAAGCGATTAACTTTATGCTTAGAAAATTACTGCTAAAGGTACAATTCCTTTTTACCACAATAGCACAACTTTATTGCCAAAAAGTCGAGAGCTTGGCAGCAGAAAACAAAAGACTTAAGCGACGAACTCGCAGCAGTGAGACCAAATTGAGAACAGAAACAGAAACAGCAACATAGCCAGAGCCAGAGCATTTCTAATGAAAGTAATCAACAGAGACAGGCGTTGCCGGGAACGAAGATTAATTGGGTCAGAGCCATTAAGAATCAAATTTATACGCTATTAGCACTTCCTCTGCGTCCGCACACAGCTGCCAATTTGTCTGCCGAACGACAACAAAGCGCAGCCTTTGAGCGGCCAGCGGAGAGATGAAAATAAAACTACGAAACTTTCATATAAACCGGGGCTGGCCTGGCCAAAGAGCCAACTGGCAAACGTCAGCGAGCAAAAGCAATTGAGGTCAGCCATCAAAGAATGTTGCCATAAAATAAGCAACTGCCGCCGCCAGTCGGGCCAGTCCGACTAAAACACTCGGACATGGACATGGACACGGGCACGGACCGGGAATCGGAATTGGAATTGGAATCGGAATCATACTCGTACTCGGGGACTCGGACTTGCACTCTTGCCAAGAAAGTGTGTGCCGGCGAGCATTTCATGTTTACGACTGGACCGCCGCGGCAACAAAGAAAATATAAATAATCTTGATACACACTGGAAGACCGACAGCCGGAGTACCGGAGACGGGAAGAGGCGGTTGCAGAAAGCGGAAAGTAAATTTGATGGCAAGTGAAAGGGAAATAAGACAAACAAACCCGGAGATCGAACCGAGACCGCGATTCTTGGCTTTTGGCTCTGGGCTGACGGTGACCCACTTAGCCGCTGCGCCACTCACCACAATCGGGCCACGAAAATGTGGTGCCGCATTCGCATGCCAAAAACGAATTTCCTACCATGCAATGCGGGTCTGTCGCCGGTCCCACCTCCCACCTCCCAGCCAGCTCCCTTCACCTCGGCAAGTTCGATTCTGGCTATTTGGTAGGCCAGGCGAGTGGCTAGCGAAACATATGCTAAGCTGTTGACCCAAAAAGCCACAAAACGAAATGCAAACAGAAACAGAACCGCTGCCGACTCGGCCACGATCTATGAAACGTGACAATGTCTCGGTTTCGGGCTGAATCCACTTTTCGATGGATTGATTTTGGCTTTCGGCTCTGCTGCCCGCAAGTTCGTGCTTTGAGTCATCTGTTTTTGGTTCGCCTTTGAGGCATTCAAACTGGAAAATGCCCAGGAGAGCTCAGGCCAAAATGTCGTGTTAATTGCATAAGAAATGTGCGACACTTTATGGCTAAAGTTCAATAAACGCAAAACACCACAAAGGCAGTTGGCAAAATTTATTTGAATACCCTCCGAAAAAGTGGGAATATCAATGCATTGAGTTGCCTTAAATGCAAATTGTGTAACATGTCTTTGTTTTTTACTAATGATTGCATGTTGTGTTTACTAGCGCTCAATTTAGATTTTAATTTATAATATATCACAATTAACGAAGATAGATTAAAATGGAATAAAGTTTAATCGATTGGTCTTTGAATGTTAAAAAAATTGTAAATTGTAGAATTATTTGGAGTCTTAAACAATACTATGGTTTTGATAATTGAAACGCTATATAAAAAATGTTCACATTTAGCAAAAATTATCATCTCAACATAGATTTAGTTACTTAGAATAATATTTATTATGTTTTATTAAATTTCATTTTTTCTACACCACTCTCAACACTTCCCAGAAATAGAAAGAAAAGAAAGAAAACTGTTAACAATTTAACACTCATACACCATTTGTTATCCTACTAAAACATATATATGAGTAGCTCATATACACCTAAATGAAAGCAGTTTCCGAAAATCGCACCTCCCATAATACTTTCCAAAAAGGTATTTAAGAAATCGCCTTGCACAAACGACGTTCGATTTATTTTTCTTATAATTAGCAGCCAAAATCGAGCAAAGTGGCTTATTTATGTGCGAGTATATTAAGCGCTAAGCCCGAAATGTCTCGGCCAGCTTGTTAAGTAAATTTATGACCCAAAAGGCGAATCAGGACCGCCAGCTGGGATTTCTTTGGAGGCTCTCGCTGTTCGAAGCTCCCTCGTCCCTGGCCGCGATTGGTCAGAACCCCGAAACACAAATAACTCTTGGCCCCGTGCTGCCGCGTGTAATTATATAAGTTCAAAGCTCGAGCTCTCGGATAATTCTCGGCTCGATTACACAATGACGATGATGACGATGCTGGCGGTTCTTGGAGAAGCGGCAGCCGCAGAAAAGCAAAAATCATAAATAAATAACAATAATGCGGATGGGCTACTGTTGCCTCATCGGGCGGTCTTATGTGTATGTTTTGGCCGGGTGATGATGACGCCCTTCAGCGATCTGGCGGCTTTTATGGGTTCTCCTCGTACTCTGGGCTTTGGCTTTGGGCTCATGTTCGTGTTCGTGTTCGTGTTCGCTTGTTGCCACTTCATTTTCACTTGTGTTAACTGTTTGCCTAACGGTAAAGGCCTGGCTCAAATTGGCGTACAAATTCGAAGGCGTTAATCGCCGCGGCAAACGGAAATGGTGTGGAGCAGTCCATTCCAGCTTGTGGCACCAGAATAGGCATCTTATTTGCTAAGTCCCCCCATCATCACCATCGCCATCATCATTATATTCGTTATTCTGAGTTACCATTATACTGATTGTTCTGGTAATTGTCTTGCTATTTACAGTCCAATCTGGTCGAAATATCCGTCATCTGCCCTGCATCGTTCGCAAATCGGGGCGCTCGGGAGTCTGCATGTTTGCCATTGATTGCATCAAGCAGAATGGCACGCATCTGGGAACCTGCATCGATCGCTTTTACTTTGGCTCGTGCTGTGCAATGAAGGTGAGTTATCCGCACCCCTCAGTCTCCGCCAGAGTCCTGTTAATTCCCCTTTTTTTGTGTCGCAGGAGGAAGCCTCGCTCTTTGCCCCGGAAATCAACGACAACAGCATCGACCAGAACACCATATCCCACTTTGCCCACGAGTCCACCACGCTGCCCACAAGCGCCCTCTTCAAGCTAACCACCGAAAGCAGTCTCTCCAGTAGTAGCAGCACTCATCAGCACGCCACCAACGAGCTGCTGAGGAACGTCACTCAGTCGTACCTGAGCACCGCCAAGCCAGCACCTGTTCGCCCCGCCAGCAACAGTTCGTTGTCAAGCACACGTCGCCCCCCGCTGGCCCACACCACCCACAAGAACTCGCACTTTGTGGTGCGCACCACTGTGAAGCCCAGTGTGGTGCAGACAACGACGACACTAACGCCAACCATTAAGCCGCCGCGCCGTCGAACAACCACCGCCAAACCGGTGCTAACCACGGCTCCGATTGTGGTTGAGCAGCGCATTGAAAGCACCACGGTGCCCACAAAGTTTGTGACTTTCCAAATTGTGGAGACCACGACGCCGTCGGTGACGGAACCCACCCACCTGCAGGAGACCACTACCGCCACCAGCACCAGGCGGCACACAAGACCAACGGGAAGCAGCAGCTCAGTGGCCAGCAGAACAACTAGTAAAACAACAACCACCAGCACCAGCACCACCCCCACAACAAGAACAACAGAATCACCAGTCACAACAACAAGCACAAAAGCACCTGTGACCACGCAACGTCCAACACCGCCACTGCGAACCACCACGCCAAAGCCACACAAAACCCATTCAAGCCGTAGGCCAGCGCCAGCGAAAAAGCCAGCGAGTTCGACAACAACCACTGCCAGTGGATCGCAATCCACAAGGAAGCCGGCTGATAGTCTGGCTAGTAGCAGCACCACTGCTAATGCCACCACAGCCACCACTTTGCCAGCTCGCAGGCCTGTCATTCAGACGAGCAGCAGCAGTAGTTCCACAGCAACTACAACCAACATTTTCAAGGACGAATTGATCAAGAACGGCACCACAACAAGACTGCCAGAACGCACCACCCAGGCTCCGCGACCCAAGCCCAAACCCACAGGGGAAATTGTCAAGGTGCCCGCTCTGCTGGCTGAGCCAACAACAACTACCGGAACAACAGCGGCATCCAGCAGCAGCGGTCCTTCAAAGTCACCAGCCAGTGCCACCACACCTGTGGTGAGCAAAAAGAAGCCAAGCACCACCTCTGCAGCTCCTACAACAACTTCGACAACAACCACAACGCCGAAGCCCACTCGGAGATCCACAACAAAAGCTCCAACAACAACAACAACCACCACCACTAAGGCAACAACAACAACAACTAAGGCAACAACCACCACCACATCAACAACAACAACAACAACAACCACTGCAAAGCCTCTGCTCACCACCGAGGCACCGACAACAGTACCCCTAACAACAACCACCAAAAAAACCGGACTTATCACCTGGACAGATGTGGAGGCTGAGCCACCGACCAATGCTAGCATTTCCAACGATTGGCAACCAGCACCACCTTCAAATTGGCTGCCACTTGCCACCCAAACACCTGAGGTGGCGACCCAAACATTGGCAACAACAGGTGAGTCTTGCACCACTCAAAGAAAATAATTTAATTAGTGTCATCAGCTTATATTTACAAGAAGCCTACCAAAATCCTTTAAAAGTCTTTTATTAAAAAAAAAATGAATCAACAGTATTTAATCCCAAATAGAATTGATAACAGGGTAATCTGAAATATTCTTAAATTTTTTCAAAACAAATGAATATGTTCTTTATTATGCGATCGTATCCACGTTTCTTACTCAAAGAAAACAAAAACATTAATAATAACAAGAAAATCTTTTTTTTTTTTTTAATCTAAGTATAACATGTATTTTAACTATGTAGTTACTGTTATTTTCGATATGCAAGCTCACGCTTGAGGATATTTTCTCAGTGCTTTTAATGGGCAAACTAATGCCTGTTTTTCATTCCCGTCACAGCACCACCCAGCGCCACCGACAAAGTGGTCATCTCCGTGGCCACCAGCGTCAGTGAGGTGGAGACACACGGACCAGGCAAACCGCATAGGACCACGAAGCCACCGAAACCTTCCAGCACCGCCAAGCCCGCCCCAACAACAACAACCACGACAGCGACAAGCACAGAGAAAACCACAGAGGCACCACCAAGCAGCATAGAATTAGTCTCATCTACATCATCTTACACCGATATTAGCAGTGAGGTGGCAGCCAGCAGCAGCAGCAGCAGCAGCAGCAGTAGCAGCACCACTAGTACCACGACTGGCAGACCAACAAGCACAGCTGCTGAAACCACCGATTATAGCGGCGAAGAACCAAACACAACGACCATCGAGGCTACAGGCAGCACCACCGTGGCACCCGCCAATGCATTGGAGGGCGTCGATTACAAGGAAGGTAAGTGCCGAGCCGAGAAAACCCGTTTCCTGCGGGGAGAAATCTATTAATACCCTTGTGGCTGACTTTGGCCATAAGACAAAGCCAACGTGCGTGGCCATTAAATTCAATTTGAAGGCTAAACGCTGGCCTTGAGCCCGCATCGAGCTGAAGACCACGAAGCGGAGACATCTTCCGAGATGCTGCCCTGGGTCAGCTCATAAATGCTTACACTGGGAGAAAGTCCAACCAAAGTTGTAGTAGTAGTTTATACAGGCTATTCTTGAAAGCACTTAAAACATAAGAACATACAACTATTTGGCTTAAAGCTCTTTAAATCTATCATTTTAAATCAATTCTTAATGAAATCTCAATATCAGCCTAAATTCCAAAAAATTAGAGTATTAATATTTTAGAAAACAAAATTCAAATGAAATTTTTTTTTTTGTAACCTTGTTTTAGACAAACAATTTAAAGGAGAAAGATCCGTCTCACTTCCTTCTAAGCTTAAACTTTGTGTAATTGTGTCCTCAAAACTTATATATAAAGTCAACTAATCTACTATTCCTTAAAAAAAAAAGAAGGTGATATTTTTCCATGTGTAAGAACACTCCTAAGCTGGACTTTTGCTAGACGCAGTCCGCAACAATTTTTACAGCAATCATTTACAATAATGACTGCATCGTGTATGGGATCGCGTCGGTCATTGTGCCGCCTGGGTCACGTTGTCGGTCGTCTGCCAAAGCCAAAGCCAAGGCAAAAGCCAAAACCAAAGCCCACCAAAAACCAGCCAAGCCGCACCCCTGTTCCCTGCAGCCCGTTGACCGATTTGTGGCGGCCAGAGCAATCTTGATCCACGAACCGAAACGAGTCGCGGTTTGGTTCGGATCGGTTCGGTTCGGTTGGGGCCAAGACAAGACAAGTTGCTGGCCATAAAGTAGGCCGTTGACTGCCTGTGCCTGCCTTGCGGCTGGCCAAAGTCAAGGACTGCGCTGCTGCGCCTCCATGGCCAAAGCACATTACATTTGGGCCGAGATGACTGAGTGCCAGGCGGAGTGATTAAAATGTTTAAGGCCCTGGCGGGCCCATTACTTTAATTGTGACCTGGCGCAGGCCTATTAGCCAAGAGATCCCACTCCTTATTCACGTATGCTGTATGCTGTATTCTGTATTCTATATTCTGCGTCCTTTTCCCGCCAGTTTGCGGTCGTCGCATGTTCCCCGAGCCCCGGATCGTTGGAGGAGCTAATGCCGCATTCGGCCGGTGGCCCTGGCAAATCTCCCTGCGTCAATGGCGCACCTCCACCTATCTGCACAAGTGCGGAGCTGCCCTGCTGAACGAGAACTGGGCAATTACGGCGGCCCATTGCGTGGACAAGTGAGTAGAGCGGCCAATGGCCTTTTCTCGAATCCCAGTTCTCATGAGTGCGACTTTCAGCGTGCCACCCTCTGATCTGCTGCTGCGCCTGGGCGAATACGACCTGGCCGAGGAGGAGGAGCCCTACGGCTACCAGGAGCGCCGTGTCCAGATCGTCGCCTCCCACCCACAGTTCGATCCGCGCACCTTCGAGTACGACCTGGCTCTGCTGAGGTGAGCTATGACCTGTACCCTATGGGGGGTAACCATTAACGTGTTACGTTTACGTTTCCCCACAGATTCTACGAGCCCGTGGTCTTCCAGCCCAACATCATTCCCGTTTGTGTGCCCGACAATGATGAGAACTTCATTGGACAGACGGCCTTTGTGACCGGCTGGGGCCGCCTGTACGAGGACGGACCACTGCCCAGCGTGCTGCAGGAGGTGGCCGTGCCCGTGATCAACAACACCATCTGCGAGTCCATGTACCGCTCTGCGGGCTACATTGAGCACATACCGCACATATTCATCTGCGCCGGCTGGAAGAAGGGCGGCTACGACTCCTGCGAAGGTGAGTGATGCCGATGGCCAGAGATCGGGAACGGGCAATTCTGTAAAGCAATCTGTCTTCTGTCCGCAGGCGACTCCGGTGGCCCGATGGTGCTGCAAAGGGAGACGGACAAGCGGTTCCAGCTGGGAGGCGTCATCTCGTGGGGCATCGGGTGTGCGGAGGCCAACCAGCCGGGCGTGTACACCCGCATCTCGGAGTTCCGGGACTGGATCAACCAGATTTTGCAGTTCTAGTTCTGCTTTCAGCCTGGCCAGATCCTTAGCGAATGCCTAGCACGTCTTCCCCACAACGGCATCGGAATCCAACTCAAACTCGGACTCGTGCTCCGGTTATGAACAGAGATCGGCGGATGGCGGATCAGATCGGCCATAACCCGAGCAACGATTCCAGTTGCCACCATTTACCTCCACCTGCCCGCACAGCAACCACTGAACCAGCAACTGATAGCACTTCCATTGTCATAATCGTAATCTTACACTTAGCGTTGCCTAGCCTAGCCTAGACTAGCCTAGTCTAGCCTAGCCCTAAAACTAGTTAGTGAATGTGATTAACCAGAGGTCACTGATGCAGTCACGGCTCATGTAACGTATTAATCGATTGGACTCCTAATTTATTCCCATTTGCTGTACATAATTTTCTAAATTATTGCATAACATTTACACTTAGCTTTAGTCCAATACAATATTAATTTAGGAGACTCGACGGCGGTTGGGTCCTTCGGTAGGGCATATTATCTCGTAAGTCGCTTCTCCCCAAATCGAACCATGCGGCAGAAGCTATTGTAATTTTATTTTATAATTTACTTTAATTATTTATTTATAGCAGCTCATGCACGACAAAATTAATTCTATTAAAATGTTTAAAACAAACAAATTCCAATGAGTTTATATTGACATAATAGCATTAAGCCCAGCGAATAAGGGGTACAGAAAAGGACATAGAAAAAACGGAATAAATATAACGACTGAAAATCTGAATTACTGAATTTCGGTCAGCTGTTCCCCAGCAGTTTAATAACTGTTTGAACATTCAGGGACAACACAGAGGCTGCTGAAACGTTTCCTTCTACCGGCTACATACTTTTCAACCAATACATTATACACTTTTACTCTACGAGTAACGTGTATAAAAATAGTCAAGTGTTGACCACAGACTCAAACCTTCTATAACAACATATCGGAGACTCAAACCTGTAAGCCGTTAATATATGACTGTTCCTTCAAGAAGTAAATTAGTTAGTACTTCCTAGTTCTTGGAATTTATAATATTTTTAAATATGTAAAAATTTATGTTATAGTTAAAGAGACAATTTTAATTTATAATAAGAGTTGGGAGGTGAGAAAGAGTTACATTGTAGAGCTACTGACTGTTAAAAGATAGGTTAGTTAACAGTTTCTGTATACTGTCGATAAGGTTGAAATGGTAAAGATAGTGCAAACAGTATATAAGTTCTACCCCTTACGAATCTAATGGTAAACCTAAATACTTTAAAATAATAGCTTTGGTTAAATAACTCCATTCAATTCAGGTTATACTTAAACTTTAAGTAGGCGTTACAGCGAGTAAAAAATCCTTACAGTTCAAATGGAATATTCCCTTAAATTTTAGTACAATTTTTTTCAACTATATTTTGAATACTTTAAAAACACCCTAAATAAAACACGACATAACAAACGGTTAAATTGAACTTTTCACATTTAATATACACTCATTAGACATATAATATCGGAGCTAGATAATCGAAACATGCATTCAAATTATAACTTTTTACCACTCCACCACTGCTTACATTTATGGCTGACTTTTGCTCCTCCTTATATAAAGTGTTGTACAATCTGTGCAAATCGAGTGTGGTCTATCACTGTCCTATATAGTTTTCGGCTCGAATTCATTTGTTCATGCTGAGCGAGAATAGTACGCAAAGTTCTGGACAAAAATGCAATTACAGCTATATTTTATCTATTTGGTATAGATTAATTATATTACACATATGTAAGGATGCACGTATTTTTTAAAGTTTCCTTCAATGTTCCAACTTCTCCCATGCCTTGATATTTTTCAGAACACCACTCCGTTTAATTCCATTGTGCTGCAATTGTTGGTGATTATAATACTTAATGGACATCTATAATACATTTAATGGACATCTAGATTAGTACTGCCCGAAGGCAAATGGAATGGGTGCGTGTTTGCCCTAAGCTACTCGTGTTAACATTCAAATTTAAAGATATCAAAACTATCCATCCGACCGCAATATTTGATAAAGCAGATCGCAGCACACACAATAACAAAATGTTTTGGTTTTGCTCTCGATTTTGTGGACCTTGTGTAAAATCACATATTGAATTAATGTAAAACTACGCTGATGTGAACCTAATAATAGCCCTTGTGTAAATCTAGTGTTTCTTCCATATTTCTGTTATCTTTGATTAATTTTGAAATGGTCCCGACTAACATGAGAAACCTAGGGCGTGCCAGTTCTAAGTGCACGATGGGCTCTTTCAAAAAAAGTTAAGGTTATCAATTATGGATAAATTTCTAGGACTATTTAAGCAAAATTGCACATTGTGGTTACTATATTTTCTGGTTCTCTTTCGATCAATCAAATTTTAAACATTTAATCCAATAACAATCGTGGTAATATTTAAGTAATTTTAAAATGCAATTCAATACCATTACGAATGTAAAACTACACGTATATAATTAACAATAAGTTTCGTTCAGCCGACAAGCGCTAAATCCTCAAAAAATCAGTACAATTGGTATTATAAACTCTTCGTCTATGAACAAGGGTAATATGGTATTGGTTTTTTAAAAAATTATTGCTTTTTAATTTTGTTTCTTTTGTATTTTCATTTCTTTCATTGAAATATAACTAAATTAATCCAATTCCGGACAGATTCGAGCATTGAAATTTATCCCAACTCATGCTTACAAGAAAACAAAAACATAATAAACCAATTACAAATAATATGTTTATATTTAGACAAACTATATACAATGATTAATGGGGGAAATGACTAGCATAAATTAAAGCTAAAATTATACACAATATGTACAGTTGGGAATAATACCCCCGGTAGTTGTCGAGTCTGTTTTGTAACTTAGGCAATAGTTATGTTTAGGATATTGCATAGTCTATAGGAAACTTCTGGGATACACTTTGGATTACACTTTTAGCTTAGAGTACATGCAGATTCTCGCAGCTCTTGGACTTGGAGTCCCGAGTCCAGACGCGGCCCAACAGACCCTTAACTTTCAGGCTGGTGGATGTTCGTGAACCACGATATTTGCGAGGACTGCAAAGAAGAAGGAGAGGGGTACATGAGCATTACGGGCTAATTTTGATTTTGACGACCTGTCAGGAGCCGTGACTCACCTGCTTTGGGCACTGCCAGGGGGCGTGGCCACCGACTCCCCCAGCGGTCCCAGCGGGGTGCTGGCATTCAGGCATCCTGCATTCAGCGGTGAGCAAGCGCGCCGCTTTGACTTTCTAATCGAACGCTTCCGGAACAGATCCCTGTGCGAATAATATGCATTAGCAAGTTCAGTGAAATATAAGAGGTTCTCTTTACCCACCTGGACTTCTCGGGATTCTCCAGCTTGAGACGTATCTGTGACAACAGACCCACCAGCAGCTCGTCTACGTTGTGATTGATGCCCACCGATGTCTCGATGAATTTACAATCATAGGCGGTCGCCATGGCCTTGCCCTCTGCAAGAGAATAAAAATATACGATGGAGAGGTTAAGTGAAAATATGTGGAAATTATGGGCAAAGAGCATCGCAGTCAAGCTTAGTTGGCCGCCCATCACCCCAGTTAATCAAATCAAATGGTCTCGCTTAGTTAACTCTGTGTTGGCCATAAAAACCTCAACTTGGACTCGGATTTGTATCTAAACACGTTGGCGATTTTGTGTTGCCGGGCATCCATTCATCCCCTCCCATTCGTCACGTCGTGTCCACAGTTGTGTACACAAATCGTAAAATCTGAAGCATCAAAGTTCGCAGTGTGCGGAGGTACCTCATGCGTGTATCCCTCGTGGTGCAAATTTTATGACAGGCTCACATTTTTATTAACAATGTGACAAAAGTATATATTTGTATATATACTTTACTGTTCGTTTTATTACAGTTTAATAGGGGATGCAGCCTTTACTAGGCTTTAAGGACATAAGCTCTTAACCTTTCGACTTTCGATTGGAGCCGAAGCTGGATTCTAATTAAAAGTAAACAGAAGTTTCCAGCATTTACCCCAATTGAATAATTAGTGAGGCACTAGAATGGGGCAGACATCATTAAATATGCCAACAGTGGAAAGGTAAAAATGGAAAACGAGCAAAATGCATTAAAGTTTTAAAAGCTGTTTTGGATTCATGGAATGATAAAGCCAAATTTTATTCACTACATACGGTCCATCACTTTTTCAGACACTGCACATATTTTTCCCAATCACTGTGACAATCTATAGATTTATGAATATATCTTTGTGTGCTATGCGTACATTTCATTGTTGCCAGAGGCATACAAAATTCTATAAATACTTTATGAAATTAGGGCGCCGCATTAGGTGGACAGGAACTCACCACCCAAATTCAGGATTGTGCGTGGGCGGTGGAGGGGTGCGTCGTCGTCCTGTTTACAACAATAGGCTTATGGGCCTTAAACCTTGAGCGGAACACATGCCACACGGGACAAAATGTAATCAATTTTGCGCTGAAACAATTTCCCTGCCATTACTCTCAAAAAACTGGGAAAACCCTTCGCTCAGCCACCCAACCACCCACTAGAGCACCCATTTTCATAATAACAAACGTAATTTAACGGAAAATATTGAATTACTTAGATGAAAGCGCCAAAGTTACTTTGGTCTTAAAGGGAATCCGATATAAAAGTCAAGTGAAAGTACTTGAGTAGACAAAAAGCCCCCGAAATTGGCGACCTTTAAATGGGGGAAAAGCCCGGCTATCTGCCCCACTTGAGACTCCGGCTGTTTGCGTAGGCGAACCGCCGGATGACTTCCGCTTGGGCAAACACTTCACCTGGCAGACCCAAACTATATCGCTGCCTATTTATAAAAAGATCCAATCGAGCACAATTTCGAGTGTTAATGATGGGAGATTTCCGCCGAACGTGGACAACGATTTTGTGGTATGCTTACCTTCTGAGGTGACCAGGCGACTCCTGGCCAAGTCCGCCTTGTTCGAAACGAGGATGACGGCCTTCTGGGCGATGTTCTGATTGGTCCAGAGCACCTGCAGCACCTGCTCCGCCACGCTGAAGCTGCTCCTGTCCGCGGCCGAATAGATGACGCAGTAACCGTGGGGATCATAGTTGGTCAGGCACTCATCCGGCTGTGAATGGAGGAGCATGTAGGTGACACCGAGGTGACATTGAGTGAGGTTGAGAGCTGGGCCACAGTGTGGGCTAGTTGATGGCCGTGCATGCTAATGGCATTATGAAATGTCACAGATAAAGTGCAGGGTGCCGGACGGATGAGCAGGTATATATAATAGCACTGGTCACAATAATAGCAACAAGGCCCCGAAGGCCACATAATGGATATTTTAAAAGCATCTATGCACTGTTTAAAAACCCATTTATTTTAAGTGGATCTAAGCACGCTTTAAAGTGTGCAATTCAGGTTTCAAAAATGTGTTTTTAAAACGAGTAATGCATTTTATGCATCCATTGAAATCATTTAAATATTTAACTATTTTTGATGGGGTTTGAGTAAAAATTCCTTACCAAAAATTCAGATACAAAACTGAGGTATACCAACAATAAGAATTAATTTTTTTATGTTTTAATATATAAAATGTTTCAAGAACATTTATTGGTT